AAATGCATGATTTAAAGTCAGTGATAACCCCACACAAACTAAACACAAAAATCTATTAATGTAGTTAAAACTGCAATTCAGAGGTGGCAGTGACACCAGTCTATGGCAAACAGCACAAGGGGAACATAGCTAAAGTTGGAGCTGGACCTTGTAAGATCAGTAAGCCATTTAAAGACTCCTGTCTTTATCCTAGGAATAACTGAGTCATTGAAAGTCAAGGAACACAATATGATCATGTTGGTCCAAAATAAAGATATAGTGCAGAGAAGTCAGTATTTGGAAGGCTAGGGTTTCTATGAAGATATTCATTCTCTTTCTACTGCAACTATAAGTAGCTCTAAAGGTATCTTCCAAGTGGGCAAGTTAGTAACTTACTCTAATTTTCTTATTTTAGTACATGTTCCATAAAATATGAAGAGCCCAACATTCTTCTCATTATTAAATATTGTCAAGTAACAGTACCTTACACAGGAAAGAAAATCAGTAAATTTTAAGTGTATAAATAAATATTTGGATTTGTTTCATTTTAAATCATTATGCAAAAAAAATGTCATCCATATATCTCTTTGACCTATGGTTCCTTTTTTTAAAAATTTATTTGACAGGTAGAATCATAGACAGTGAGAGAGACAGAGAGAAAGTTCTTACTTCTGTTGGTTCACTCCCCAAATGGCTGCTGCAGCTGGCGCTGCGCTGATCCGAAGCTAGGAGCCAGGTGCTTCTTCCTGGTCTCCCATGTGGGTGCGGGGGCCAAGCACTCAGGCCATCCTCCACTGCTTTCCCAGGCCACAGCAGAGAGCTGGACTGGAAGAGGAGCAACTGGGACTAGAACCCAGTGCCCATATGGGATGCCGGCGCCACAGGTGGAGGATTAGCCAAGTGAGCCATGGTGCCAGCCCCTGACCTATGGTTCTCTCTAGGAAATAACAATTATCTCTTTTTTGCTCTTTTCCTTCCCCAAATAAGAAAAATGAGTCTTGGATATAGTCAACCACAATACTGAAGAGATTTCTATAAAATACAGAAAAACAGCCTTGAAGAAATGGAAGGATAAGAAATGGACTCTCAAATCTCAAATACTCATTTAATCTATGACAGATTTACATCATTGAAATGGTGAGCTTTCTACTGCGAAGATGAAGTAAAAAAAAAGAAAAAACCAAAGTTGTGAAGAAGTAGAAATTAGTGAGTATAGAATGAAATGGATAAATTATGATAACAAAGACAGCACATTAGAAGACACAGAAAACAAAGACACACCCAAAGTTACAAAGATCTTCAAACCTACAAATGTATTGAAGTATGTATGGTAATATGTATTTGCACAAACTTGCACACATACAAATCCTGTCAATAGTCAGAAGACAGTCATTACACGCATTAAGCAGCCAAACACCCGACTAAGTGCCAAAATTGATCATTTCTACAAACGTTTTTATATATATACCTGTGTCTGTAAAAGTGTTGCAGGTGACTACTAATACCTATGGCAAAAACTCATACTGCAAACAAATGACACCAGGCAGCTATGTTTTTCTATTAACAGTGTCCAATTGCCTTTGGTTTGATGACATCCTGTTTACGATGTTATATGTAATATATTTACATGGAATATCAGATATAGATAATAACCAATCATTTCAACAAAAGACCTCAACATATTAATTGGATGAAAATGTTTAGGAGACATGTTAATATTCTTTTGTCTTTCAGCTGACAGCGTCTTGAACACCCACACACAGACTTTAGTTAACAACCGCTAGGAACTATTATCCTTGCTTTTACCTTCCCACACATAATTGTAGCTCTTCTTCCCCTAAACTTATTTTTCACATTGTAAAATGATGGGAACACAATGTCTATTTCTATTAGATTCTGAAGACAAACTAATAAGATATACTTCCAGCTGATAAAGTATATTTTAGAAGTTGAAGTTCACAGTTTATAATAAAATCAAGAAGACAAGATCTTTGAAGTGTCTTCAAATTAAAGAAAGCTTTTACCATAGTGATCCCTGTTAAATAAAAGAGTGGGAATAAGAGAGGGAAGAGATGTACAATTTGGGGCATGCTCAAGCTGACTTGCCCCAAACAGTACAGTTAGAAACATACCAGGGGATTCCAATTCAATCCCATCAAGGTGGCATGTACCAATGCCATCTCACTAGTCCAAGTGATCAATTTATGTTCACAATTGATCATAATAATAGGACTAAGAGTCAAAGAGATCACATAAACAAGACTAGTGTCGGCTAATACTAACTGATAGAATAAAAAAGGGAGAGAACGATCCAACATGGGAAGCGAGATACACAGCAGACTCATAGAATGGCGGATGTCCCAAACAGCACTCTGGCCTCAGAATCAGCCCTTAAGGCATGCGGATCCGGCTAAACAGCCCATGAGAGTATTTCAGGCATGGAAAGCCAAGACACTCTGGCAAAAAAGAAAAAAATGACCTAAATGAAAGATCTCTGTGAGTGAGATCCCAGTGGAAAGAACAGGTCTTCAAAGAAGGAGGTACCTTTCTCTGAAGGGAGGAGAGAACTTCCACTTTGACCATGGCCTTGTCTAAATATGATCAAAGTCGGTGAACTCAAAAGGCCTCCATAGCCTTGGAAACTTATGACTGGAGCAGAGGGAGATTACTGATGCCATAAACAGGAGTGTCAATTTGTAAAGTCAACAACAGGAGTCACTGTGCACTTACTCCTCTTGTAGGATCTCTGTCCTTAATGTGCTGTACATTGTGATTTAATGCTATAACGAGTACTCAAACAGTATTTTTCACTTTGTGTTTCTATGTGGGTGCAAACTGTTGAAACCTTTACTTAATGTATACTAAACTGATCTTCTGTATATAAAGAGAATTGAAAATGAATCTTGGTATGAATGGAAGGGGAGAGAAAGTGGGAAAGGGGAGGGTTGCGGGTGGGAGGGAAGTTATGGGGGCGAAAGCCGTTGTAATCCATAAGCTGTACTTTGGAAATCTATATTCATTAAATGAAAGTTAAAAAAAAAAGAAAGCTTTTACCATAAAAAAAAATTCCCATGCATAATGGTACAGTATGTAGGAAGCTTTCAACAGTCAGAAATTCATCAAATACAAGAATTTTTCAGGACTTTTCATGGAACAATTACAGCGTGTGATAACACTAAGGCATATTAAGGTTCTCACATGTGCAGAATTTAATCATGAGTTTAAGAAGCTAACTAACAAATCCATATGAACACATCTCTCAACAGCAAGCCCGTATTTGTAGGTACTGAGAGAGAAACAGGATTTGCATGTGTGATTGTGGTATCCAGCCTTCAAATTTACTTCTCAAACATGATTTGCATAGTTCTATTTTCTAGATATTTCGGCTCATATGAAATATATATGTTGAAACCTAATCTCCAATAGGATACTATTTGAAGGCAGACTCAGTGCAAAGTGACCAGGCAATGAGGGCAGAGCCCTCATAAAAGGAATTAGTATCCTTATGAAAGACTTCCCATAGAACTACTTTTCCCTTCTGTCATGTGAGAACACAACAAGAAAGTGGCAATTATGAATCACAAAGTGGGTCCCCACCAGGCATGGAATCTGTTCGTATCTTGATCTTCGATTCACCAACATCCAGAACTATGAGAAATAAATTTCCATTGCTTACAAGCCATCTAGTTTATGGTATTTTCTTATATAAGCACCAAATGACCAAGGCATATAATCTCCTGCGTGTTGATCAGGGTTAGTTTCTGTCACCAGGAGAATACAAAGGAGATGAAACTGATTTGGGACTCTCAAGCCAAAGCCATAAAAGTCATTGAAACTGCTATATTAATCTTCTGAGTTCTTATTCTGAAAAAAGCCAGCTGCTATGCCATTAGGATGCTCAAGTGGCCCTACTTGTCATGATGAACCTGAGAACTCCCTTCAGCAGTTAGCACCAAATTGCTAGCAATAGGAATGACCCACTTTGGAAACCAGTCATTCACTTCGAGTGAAGGCTTCATGTCACAGATGCTCCAGCCAGCATATACTGCATTCCTGTAAAAGGCCAGAACCAGAATCTACTCAGTCAGACTGTTCCCAATTCCTGAATGACAGTGATGGTGACAAATAATAAATAACCATTATTGTTTCATGTAACTGTGACAGAGTAATTAATTATACTACAACTGAAAACTACTACAATGATATACAGCAAGCAAAGGGAACACACATTTCAGAAGTTGATAAATAAGTCAGACAACTAGGAATTAGAAAACAGAACTCATTAATTAACAAGGATATAGTAATTAGGTCTATTTCCTAATTGGATATAAGTATCATTTAATAATTAAGGGCATGTTTTGAAAACTAGATCACCTGGGTTAGCATATTTATACTCTTATAATTTGCAAGAAATTATTTATCTCCTTGGAGGCTAACACCATTTTTTTCTCATTTATAAAATGAAGTTGAGAAGAAAATACTTAAAAAGTAGCCATGAACACTATATGACATGATCCAACAAAACCCTTAGAATTTTGATTACCAAGCATATTTATACTTGTTCTATGTGATACACACACACAACACAAACTATTATAATCCTTATAACAACCTTTTAAGATATTTTCATTTTACACATTGGGAAATTAAGGAAGAGCTAGTAAGGTTGAGTCATGATTCAAATCCAGATTGTTCCCAGAGTTTGAATTTTGATACAGCTTCTTCTAATAAATTGGAGCATGCTACATATAATGAATATTATTGAGAAGTTATACAAATTGAAATTGTGAATAACATCTGTATCTTTTATTCTTGAGGAAATTATATTTTAGATGAGAAAATAAGATATTAGGAAAACCAAAACTTTGTTAGGAAGAGTTCCCATTATAGAAAAGGAATATGTTTATTAGGGAGATCTTTAAAAATGAGTATTATCAAACCATTGACTTTAATGCAAATTAAGAATATGTTATCTAAGAATTGCAAGATGACTGAACAGGGGAAAGACATACTGCTTTAGATGAGGGGATACAGCAGAAAAAAGGGGGAAGAAGTGCATTACCAGGGAAGAGTTGGAGACAAATCTGTAGCAGAAATTCTACAGAAGGAAGAGGGAGGCCATGGATCAGCATGGAAGATGCAAATATGCAGCAACAAGTGTGGACACAACACAAGATCCCCATAGCTAAGAGCCGGAGGATACACCTGCTTTGGAGAGCAAGGTAGGAGCAGACTGCAGCAGCCAGTGCCACTGGTAATATTGCTGAAGTGAGAGCCTTGCAGACCACATTGTCTTAAATCTGGCCCGGAGCCCTAACAGGAGGCAGGGTATCTGCCTAACCCAGCAAAAAATAAACACATTACTTTCTTCCCATCCCCTGACAAGGGTGGCTGGCATCCTGAGAGGAAAAGGTGCAATTTTGACACCCTTGTGCACTTGGGTTAGCTGGGGATTTTACAAGAGGGAAAAATCTGCATTGCTAGGAGGGTTAACAGGGAATGGGCACCAATGTAAGAATATGAAGTGCCCACAGCTTCTCAATATTTCACAGACTCCAGGGCTCAAACTGCCAATGTAGAGCACCTGCAGGCAGCTGGCTCTGGGAAAATCTCTGTTTTCTTCCTGGACAGGAAACACTAGTGGAACGGACCCTCTGCACTCCATGTCTGTGGTAGCCTTGTATCCAGAGACTGTGGGAACTCTGTGACTGCACAATATGGCACAGAGTGTAGCTGAGACTATGGGTAATCACTGTGTCCGGTGCCAGAGGCTCAGACCTCCCTGAATGCCTAGGGTGGGTCACTGTGGCAGTACCTGAGCTCACACTGAGGACTACACTGATGTTTGTGCAGTTCATACAGGAGTACACGTGAGTGTTGCACCAACTGTGGGCTGTGAACACCTTGGAGGAGAGGTGGTGAGGGTGTGATTACACCAACAGCAGTGATCAGGCCCACCCACTGCTAACAACTGAGATCTACCACACCCAACTTGGGTGTGACCCCGCATTCTTGTCCCACCCTAGAACACAGACCAGAGCTCCCTGGTCACACCCAGTACATACTTCTGGGTATTTATTGAAAGGGCAGACACTCCACTAAGCCACAAAGGCATAGTCCAAAGATAAAAGCTATCAGAGGAGAAAACCAAGTACTTCTACAAACAACTAAAAGTAAATGCAAAATTTCAAGAAACAAGAACAAGGAAGACAACAAAAGTCTCAGAAAGGAATATAGCACTTCAATATTACAATGTGAAGATAAAGAGATTGATGAAATGCCTGAAAAGGAACTCAAAAAATTGATCATAGAGATACTCAGAAGGAATGAGAAGCAAATTCATGAGTTAAAGAAATACATAAGTTAAAGAAAAGGACATAGTGAAGTAGGCAGGCATACAGGCTAAAATTGATTAGATTTGTTAGCTGGAAGACCACGCCTTCGCCCTGTGTGACTTCACACCCTACCTGATAACCCCACCACGCCCCCTTGTGACATCAGGCTCTATCTGACCATACCTGAGCACCCACCTGCCCACAAGCCACTCCCCTGTGGAAAATATATAAAAAGGCAGGGAGCATCCCAAAAAACCCTCTGCATCTGCTTTGCTGCCAGTGATAAGCGGTGGACAGCAGCTCAAGGCACTTGCTGCATATGGCTTTTGGCCTGCTCTCTGAGTGGTATGGACACTACCCTAGTTTCCAGACTTTCCTCTCTCTCCAACTAAAGCCCTCATTTTCCTAGATACCTCTCGCACTAAATAAGAGCCTAAAATGTACTATACTGCCTCGTTTGTCTGTGCCGGTATTTAGAATTCTCTAAATATTAGGCAAGAACCCTCTTGGGCTTATTAATATTTGGGATTTAGTAATAAGCCCATGGTGAAATCATATGGCACCTCAAATTCTGGTAGCACATGTGGCATCCCAGATAGCACTTCTGGGGAACTCTAAAGGGCCACATTTTGGTGTAAATTTTAGGGGGTCATGTCCAATGTCAATAGCAGAATAATTTTCCCATGAAATTAAGATTTTGAAGAGAAATCAAACTGAAATATTAGAAATGAAGAATTCAGTATGTCAAATAAAAAATATAGTGGAAAGCTTTAACAACAAACTTGGTAAGGCATAAGAAAGATTATCTGAGCTAGAAGACAAATCTTTGGAAATATCTGTCTGACAAAAAGGAAGAAGGAGAAGAAGAATTAAAGAAATTAAAAACAGTATTCAAGATTTAAGGGATACAATCAATCCAACATACGGTTCATGGGAGTTCCTAAGAGTATAGAAAAAGAGAAAGGATTAGGAGGCCTATTCAGTAAAATAATTACAGAAAACTTCCCTAATTTGGAGAAAGAAAGTGGCATCTGCATACCCAAGGCACATAGAACTACTAATAGACAAGATCAAAAAAAGATCTTCACCACAACACATTGTAGTCAAACATTCAACAGTGAAAAATAAAGAAAAGATTCTAAAATGTGTACCAGAGAAATGCCATATTACATTCAGAGTATTTCCAATTACACTGATAGCTGATTTTTCATCAGAAACCCTATAGGCTAGGAGAGAATGAAGAGACGGATTCCAAGTTTTAAAAGAAAAAATTGTCAACCCAAAATACTGTACCCAGAAAAGTTCTCATTTGTGAGTGAAGGTGAAATAGATACTCAAAAAAAAAAAAAAAAAAAGAAAAGAAATTGAATCTGTCATCAGCCAGCCTTACAACTGATGCTTAAGGATGCACTACACACAGAAACACAGAAAGATAGTCATCATTATGAAAGAATGTAAAGGCAGAAAAATCTCCAAGTAAAAGTACAAAGAAAATCCAAAGTAAACAATAGGAATATTTTGGAAAATGGCAGGGTTAAGCAGTTACTTACAATAACCTTGAATGTAAATGGCCTAAATTCTCCAATTAAAAGATACACACTGGCTGAATGAATTAAAAAACAAGACCCCTCTGTTTGCTGCCTACAAAAAACACATCTCACAAAGGTACAAAGAGAATGATAGTGAATGGATGGAAAGAGATATTCCACGCTAACGGAAAGCAAAAACGAGCAGATATACCCATTGTAATATCGGACATAATAGATCTTAACAGAAATATTGTTAAAAGGACCAAACAGGAGTATTATCTAATGATTAAAAGATCCAATGAAAAGGAAGATGTGACTATAATAAATGTATACAGACCCAGTTACAAATAACCTGGCTTTTTAAAGCAAATGTAAGTGGATCTAAAGGGAAACATAGAGTCCAATACAACAGTAATGGGAAACATCAATACCCCACTTTCAGCAATGGATGATCAACCATACAGAAAATCAACAAAGACACAACAAAATAACCTACACTATGAACCAAACAGACCTAACTGGTATCTACAGATCCTTTCATCCCACAGTTGTAGAGTATACATTCTTTCCATCAGTGCTTGAAACTTTCTCTATGATGAACCATATGCTAGACCATAAAGCAAGTCTCAGCAAAGAAAAAAAAAAAAAAAAAAAAAAAACCTGAAACTATACCATACATCTTTTCCGACCACAATGGATTGAAGCTTGAAATTAACAATTCAAGAATCTCTAGAAAATATGCCAAAATATAGAGGCTGAAAAACATGTTCCTGAATCAACAGTGGACCATAGAAGAAATCAAAAGAAAAACAAAAGTTTCTGGAAATGAATGACTATGACAATATAACATATCAAAACAAATGCAATGTAAAGAGGGTATAGCAATTGGGGCCTATATCAAGAAATTCTAAAGGCATCAAAGAAATAGCTATGAATGCATCTCAAGGGCACAGAAAAACAGCTAAACAAACCAAAATTAGGAGAAGGGAAGAAATTATTAAAATTAAAGAAGAAATAAACCAAATTGAAACAAAAACAATATAAAAAATCAGTACAATGAAGAGCTGGCTTTCTGAAAAAATGAACAAATTGAAACACCATTGGCCCAACTAAACAGAAAAAGAAGGGAGGAAACTTGAATTAATAAAATCAAAGATGAAAAAGGAGTTGTAACAATAGACACCACAGA